CCAAACACGCACTCCCTCCGCAGCACCACAACAAGGGCAGCCCGCCCGGGTTCCCCACCTGCGCCGCTCCGCGCCGGTCCCCAATGTCAAGCCCGCGCCCCCGCGGCCGGCAGCCGGGTCTCGGCAACGCTGGCCAGCTCCTCCGGGGAAGGCGGACAGCCGGCAGGACGGCCCCCGGACCCACCCCGGGGACCCTAGACCTCCACCTCCGCTGTCCCATCACTAGGCGTGCCGGAGCCCCCCTCAGTCTACTTGAGGGAGCCCCACGATCCCGTTAGGAAACAACGGAGGATGGGGCTGAGCGCCCCCGAGCCGGGCTCCCCACGGCTGGTCCGGCGCCTCCAGACTCCGGATAAGCTGCCAGCTCTTCCCCGGACCCTGCCTGAGAGACACCCACCTGCCCGGCCTTTCGGGGCTCATCTAAAAGGCTCCTCCGCCAAGACTAGGGGACACCAGGAATTAGGTTTGTTTGCGGTGCCTCAGAAGGGGCAAGATGGCGACAGAGGCCAGAGCGCAGGCGCAGCCGCGCGCAGCTCGTCGGGAGGTGTAGTTCGCCTTTCCCGCCTTTTGCGAAACGAGCCCTCAAAAGCCTCCATTCGTCCGGTTCTTTTTTTTTTTTTTTTTCGCCCCCCTCGTTTTGAAAGGGAAGGACGGGCGTTGCGGGGCCTGCTGGGAGTTGTAGTCTGAGCTCCAACTCCGTCCTCTTTCTCTTGCAGCTCGCCGGTCGTGTGCGCAAGGAAGTCTGGGAGTGTAGTTCCTTTTGGCTTCGCGCGCCCTAGCCTCCCGGCCGTTCCCAACCAATCGGCTGCCCTTTCAGCTGAACGTGTGGCGTCACACGTACCGTCCAAAATGGCGTCGGCAACCAGGGAAGAGCTTCGACCTTTTCTCTAGCGAGGTGAGGGATGAAAAGAGCGCTGCTTGGTCCCTGATGAACGCTGGGGGATGGAGATCTGGTTACCCAGACTCTTGGGAGCCATCGTCAGCGTCCTCCACCACCCCGACGACAATTCGAGAGAGATTCTTCACGGCACGAGAACGGAGAGAGAGGACCTCACAGTGGCCCGTACCCTGTTCTCGGTGTTAAGAGTTGAAAATCGAGGAAGGGAATCCGAGCGTTCTCGGCTTGGGGCTATGCCGTGTGCGAAATAGGAAAACTAGTGATATCTTGTGCTATATCTGTCCAAGGGAAGAAGGGATTTACTTGTGGCACTCACTACATCCTGGTAGGTTCACCTGCAGCCTTTGTTACTTAACCGCACCATGTTGTCAAAGTCTTGTCCCCCTGCTTTACATTTGGAAAGAGGCCCGATGTGTTGTTACAACGATCCGAAAAAAAATCAAAGTTAGTTTCTAGGATTGTAAATTCCATTAAGTTTTGTGGTGTCCTCCCTCTAAACTCTAGTAACATCAGATGTGGTGAAAGTGCACACATCTGAAGGAATTGTTAGTATGCACCCTGCTGTTAGCAAATTCCCTGGCAAACCAGGGTTATCACTGTAAGGACTTCTAGCTCAGTGGTAGATTGCTTGAAGAGTATCGTAGGGGGAGGGGCAAAATCTACTCTGTGGGAATATTCAGATACACATCGTGGATGAAAGTTCTTTTTCTTAGTGAGACGCTATGAATTACAGTTGTAATCCCAGCACTAGAGAAGGGGAAGAAGCAGGTCAGCCTGGACTGCAGAAGGCCCTGTGACCAAAAACCATTTGGGGTTTTTGTTGTTTTGTGAACCTCTGCATAAATGCGAGTCTGTTCGTTCCCTTGAATGGAGATGTAGGTTAGTCAGAAATAAAAAGGACCATTTGAGTTTCCTCCACGCCTTTCTTGACCTTCCTGTGCATACTGTGAGGTCAGTTACTTAAGAACACCTTATATGGTGGTTAATTAAATCTTAATAGGAGACTTTGTAATTTAACAAACATTCCTTTATTTGACCCTTGCAGCATCTACACGAGATGGGTGTAATTAAGTTTGCCCATCCTGTGCATGGAAAGGCACAGTTGTTCAGGAACTGGTGAACCAAGAACTATATAATAGAACCCTGTCTTGAAAGGCAACAACGGGGGGGGGGGGGCTGGTTAAGAGCACTGACCTCTCTTCCATCCGACATGGTGGCCAACAACCATATATGAGTCCAACCATATGTAATCCAGAAGTTCCTCAGGGGCCACACAAATGTAGTGCACAGACACACGCAAGCAAAACACCCAGAAAATACAGTTTTAAGAAGGCAACAGCGAAAACCTGACTCAGCCAGGCGATGATGATACATGCCTTTAATCCCAGCACTTAGGAGGCAGAGGCAGGTGGTTCACTGAATTCGAGGCCAGCTTGGTCTATAGAGCTAGTTCCAGGCAGCCAAGGCTGTTACACAGTGAAACCCTGTCTTGAAGAACAAGCAAACCTGACTCTTAATAAGTCAAATATGAGTAACAATTGGGGTTGATCCTCCATCTTCTACATAAGTTCTTACAATTAGTAGGGATGTCCCTAGTTAAAAATAAGTCCTTGATACGGGTTAAAAACCATCCCTAAGGTTCCACATAAGGAAAGAACAAAGGAAGGTTTTTAATTTAGGCAGCCTGGGCTGTCAAAAAGATTCAGCAAGTAAAGACCTTGCTAGCCTGATGACCTGGACTCAACCTTCAGAACCCGCTCATATGGTAGTGGGAGAACTGACACAGAATCATCCTCTGATCTCCAGCATGTATACACACACAAATGATATAAACTTTAATCTGTTATAAATTTAGGCAGCTTGGTCCCAGAGTCTACACCTTCCGCTGGTAGTAGCTCTCAAGCTTTTGTGTTCAGTGGAAACACATAAAGGTCCTGGTAAAAATGTGAACTTTTGGGTTGTATAGTTAGGGCCAGATCCTGTTTCCAACAAATATTCCCAAGTAATAATGCTGGCACTACATAGCATTTTACTTCTTCCCCTTTCTCCTGTCATGAGTTAGTGTTTTTGTCTAGAGACATATCTCCCCATGTATTCTAGGCTAGCCTCAAGCTTGAGATGCTGCCTCAGCCTCCCGAGTGCTGGAATCACAGGTACATACCACTGTACCTAGGTCTTAAACATTTATTTTGTAGCTAGAGGCTGTAATAGCCTCTCTTTGCTCTCTCTGACTGCTTTGTACATCCAAATGATCCAATGTCCTTTCTCTTAAGGATCATATTCAAACTACCCCTCTCCTTTACGTCTGATGAAACTCCCCCTGGCCCTACCAGTCCCTCTACCGCGAGACAGACATTTCCGTGTCTATTCTCACACCATGTTACAGAGCTCAATAACTATAGAGTTATAGTCATTTGAAAAGTCCTGACGAAAACAAACTCTATGAAAAGGGACCAACCAGGTATATGCACTCTTGTGCCTAGCACATAATAAAAATAATAACTAAAATATACTCACAACTTTCTCCATTTCAGTTGCTGTTCCATGTTAGCTTCCTTAATCCATGCAATAGCCTGATAGTGACTGTATTACTCATAGTTCTCTAGAGTAACAGAACTGATAGAATAAATGAATAAATAAATATATGGAATGTATTAGAATGGCTTAAAGGCTGTGGTCCAACTAATCCAACAATGGCTGTCTTCCCAGGGAAGGTCCAAGAATCCAGTAGTTGTTCAGTCCATAAAACTGGGTGTCTCAGCTGGTCTTCAGCACACACTGGAATCCTGAGGAAGTAGGCTCTATGCCAGTGAAGGAACAGACTTGCCAGAAAAAGCAAGCAAAGCAAGAAGCAAGCTTCCTTTTTCCATGTCGTTTGTACAGGCTGCAGGCAGAAGCTGTGGCCCAGATTAATGATGGATTTACTCACCTCAAAAAATCCAGAATAATGCTGGTTTGCTCTTCTGAGGAAGTTGGAAGTTGCCCGTTTGCTACGTCCTGGGCTCCATGTGGGTAGAGCGTGGTTGAGCTGTGCAGCCAGGCCATGATGAGCTATACACATCTGTCATCAAATAGGGAAGACTGGCAGGCCATGAATGCAGTGACCTATGACGATGTGCATGTGAACTTCACTCCAGAAGAGTGGGCTTTGCTGGACCCTTCCCAGAAGGCTCTCTACAATGATGTGATGCTGCAGACCTTCAGGAACCTCACTGCTATTGGCTACAATTGGGAAGGTCATGATATTGAAGAGCATTCTCAGAGTTTCAGAAGTTGTGGAAGTCCTCTTAAATGGCATGAGAGAATTCACATGGAAGAGAAGCCCTGTGAAGTTATTCAAGATGATGAACCCATTGCATATCATAGTAAACTGCAAATATATAAAAGAGCACATAACAGAGAGAGGCCCTACAAATGTGACCAGTGTGGTAAAGCTTTTACATCTCCCAGTGGTCTTCAAATGCACAAAAAAACACATACAGGAGAGAAACCTTTCAAATGTAAGCAGTGTGATAAAGCTTTTGCATATCATAGTTACATTATAATTCATGAAAGAACACACACTGGAGAGAAACCCTACAAATGTAATCACTGTGTTAAAGCTTTTACATCTCCAAGTGAGCTTCAAAAGCATAAAAGAACACATACAGGAGAAAAACCTTACAAATGTAAGCAGTGTGATAAAGCTTTTGCATATCATAGTAATGTGATAATTCATGAAAGAACACACACTGGAGAGAAACCTTACAAATGTAATCACTGTGTCAAAGCTTTTACATCTCCCAGTGATCTTCAAAAGCATAAAAGAACACATACAAGAGAGAAACCTTACAAATGTAAGCAGTGTGATAAAGCTTTTGCACGTCATAGTTATGTTCTAATTCATGAAAGAACACATACTGGAGAGAAACCCTATGAATGTAATCGGTGTGGTAAATCCTTTATACATTCCAGTCATCTTCACAGGCATGCAAGAATACATACTGGAGAGAAACCTTACAAATGTAATCAGTGTGGTAAAGCTTTTGCATATCATCATAATGTACTAACTCATGAAAGAACACATACGGGAAAGAAACCCTTATGAAGGCAATCAGTGTGGTAAAGCCTTTTAATATCAGAAGCTTCTCTAAATACATAAAAGAAAACATGGGAGAGAAAAATTATTGATATGATCAATGTGATAAAGCCTTTACATATCACAGTAGTCTTCTAAGGCATAAAAGAACACATAGTGGAGAGAAACCCTATGAATGAAATCAGTGAAGTAACGCCTTTGTAATTCATAGCAATTTTCAAAAATATAAAGGAACACATATAGGAAAGAAACCCTATGAATGTGACTAATGTTGAAAAGCTTTTGCATATATCAGAAGTCTTCAAATTCATGAGAAAATATACTGTACAGACACCTGATAAATATAGTCAGTGTGGTGGTTTTTTTATTTTATGGTAGTTTTTCTACAAGAATAAGGCTTTAGTGCAAAATTGGTTAGAGCCTTTTCATATTAAAGTTCTCTTTGAGGAAGTGCAAAACAAATGCTGAAAAGATTCTAACTAAAAAGAATCTGGCACCATTTTCAGCAAATATACATTATTAAGTTACACAGGAGTGTTGATTTTGGAGAAAAAATGCTGGCAATATCAGCAGTCTGTCCATAGATTATAGTGTCCTTTACTTTGTTTGCCCCTGCAAACGCATATGAAGGAAAGCCCTACAAATTTAAATAATGATGTAAGCCTTTTAAATTTCACACTGCTCTTCAATTATATTAAATATCTAATCCAGTTGAAACATTTATGGATGTGAATTTGTCTCTTTCCTGTTGTGATATAACATGTTTTAATGACAGTAATGTGAAAATACTTAAAAATAGAGGATCTCAGAAACAGTAAATACATCATATGCATATTCAAAGCAGGATTTTCTTTGGTTGATATGTAATAAAATAGAATAATCAGCAATCAAATCTATATCTCATAACATAGCTTGATGTGCTGTAGATATGTATATATTACTTATTGTTCTATTTTCTTCTTCCTGTCCCCATGAATTTTTCATCTGTCACTTCATTGTTAATTACTGCCTTATAAGAAGATTATCCATTGATGCCAGATAATATAACAGCAATAGAATTTATTGAAAAAAAGTCCAGATTAAAAGTGAATCTTCCCACTTCGAACAATTTAGTTAAGAAAAAAATCCCTCACTGGTATACCCAGCCACGTAGGTTTTAGTTAATTCCAGATGTAATCCAGTTGGCAACCAAGGAGAGCCATCACAGTAGCCATGTTTTAGTGGATGAAAAAAGACAAGACACAGGTTAAATGCCATGCATAAGGTAGCAGATTAATAAAGTAGCAAAAAAATATGATTTGAAATGGATAAACTTCTGGGGAAGAGGTAAGACTCACCCTGCTAGACCTTAATGAACACAACTGCCCTGTTTATCTAAAATATATCCTTGTTGGACCTTGAAGGAATTCCTAATGTGACTACAAGTTCAATTATAATACGTAACTAATTACTAACTTGTATTTCCTTGTTATTCTAAAAACAGTTGGTAATAATAAATTTTAAGGACTAGAAATTTATATCATATTGTTAATGAGTTGTATATTAGAAATGTATGTACAGTATGTTCTAGCAAAATTCATATCAAATTTGTGTCAATATATATAATTTGTATATAATGTACAAAAGTCCAATCAAATGTAAAACATTTAAAACTAGTAGTTGCTTTCTAAAAGTAGATTTAATAATCTACCTTTTTATCACACACATACATATATACATCTATATATGTATATATAATCCTTTTTTCTTTTCAGAGTAGATTCAATAATCTACTCTTTTATCCTATACTGTGGGATAATGCTCTTGTACACTATAAAGATTTGTCACTTGTATTGGTTTAATAAAACACTGACTGGCCAGTAGTCAGGCAGAAAGTATAGGCAGGACGATCACATTAAGACAGTTCTGGAATGAGGAAAGGCAGAGACACAGTCACAAGTTAGACACAGAGGAAACAAGATAAGAATGCCTTACTGAGAAAAGATACCAAGCCAATGGCCTAATATAGATAAGGATTATGTGCTAATTTAAGTTGTAAAAGCTAGTTAGTAATAAGCCTGAGCTAATAGGCCAAACAGTCTATAATTAATGTAAGCCTCTGTGTGTTTCTTTGGAACTAAACAGCAGCGGGAGCAGGCAGAACGGAAACTTCCATCTACACAGTCTTCTCACCAGTTTCCATTGTCCTTTGTCCTATTCTCCCTAAGACAGTCCTTTGATAGGGAATCTTTGTCAACCAATTATCTTTAAGAGGTAGGACCAAGTTGGGGCGTGGCTTTCTGAGAAAAATGCTGCCCATCCCAGGTGCTGTCTCTCTGTAGTTCCCGCTCTACACAGCTGAGCTTGGATTTCTCGTTCCTGTTTCGTGAGTTTGCCCCATATAATAAAGAAAAATATAACTGATCTGTCTTTCAGCTAGCCTGTTTCTTTTCTCAATCCGAGGTAATTCAACAGTCCTCTGTAGCTGGATACTTTTCTGTGTCCCATCTGGTCCCATAGCATCTTGTAAAGTAACCACCCAGAGGCTTAATATTAATTATAATTGTTTGGATAATAGCTCAGGCTTATTACTGGATAGTTCTTACATTTAAATTAACCCATTTCTATTAGTGTATTAGTGTATATTTTACCACGAGGCTCATAGCTTGTTACACAATATCTTGCTTCTTCTGCAACTTCTGGTGTCTCTCTAACTTCACCTTCTTTCTCCCTGTATCTCTGCTTGGATTTACCCCTAGCTATATTCTGCCCTGCCATAGGCCAATGCAGATTTATTCATCAACCAATAAAGCAACTCATATTCACAACTACAGAAGGACACCTCCCATCAGTCCTCAGCCTTACATAATTTTCGCCTGTGTTTGTTAGCCATTCGTGCTTAATAAATTATCCCAAACCCTAGTGGCTTGAAACAATGAATATTTTGTTTTAATTCAGTTTGTAGTTTCTGACAAAATCACAAGTAGCTTAGCTGGGTGATTGGGGGGGGTGGTGAGGCAAGGTTAGGAAAGGGTCTCATTCCTATAATTCAGGCTGGCAGTCCTCTTACTTCAGCCTCGTGTGGTCTAATTACAGGTACAATGCTGGCAGCTGGGCGATTACTGAACATTTTTGAAATATCAACTTCCGTAGTTCATAATAACTATTTACATCCTGGTTTCCGGCCAAAACAACTCACCTCCCTCCCATAACTCCCTCACAGCCTTCACTCAATATTCCCAATCTGTCTTCATGATAGAAACAGGTTTCTGGTTTCCTCTCCTTTTTTTATAACTAAATAAGTAAGTGAACTGTGTGTGTGCATGTGTGTGTGTGTGTGTGTGTGTGTGTGTGTGTGTGTGCATGTGTGTGTTCATGCACATGGAGAGCTGCATGTCAGAAGACAACTTTTGGGAATAACCTCTTCACCCTGGATTCTGGGGTCAAAGGAAGGACACCAGCCATAAGTAGAATGTGTTTTTACCCACTGAGCCACCTTGTCAGCACCAACATACTCTTGAGGACCACAGTTTTGTTATCCTGCTCTGGTCTAGCTGAGTTTCAACGGGTGTATTTACACTCAGTGTAGCAAACTGTTTTCTCTGTGTACCTAACATCCAATGACAGAAACTGGCACAGAATGGCCACCATAAACTTCTGTTCCACACGGGAAAGAAAGAGAGGGAGAGTGTGGTGGACCCCTTGACCAGCAAGGAAGAAACGACCACGAGTCGAGGATTCTTCTCAAATCACACTTTATTGGAGCCTCTTGGTTGAAGGGAGAGCAGGAAGCGAGAGAGAGCAAGAAACAAAAGAGAACAAGAAGAAGGAGAGCGGAAATGGAAACTTTTATAATTTAATAAACTTTAAAAAATAAATAAAAATATCCCCTTTAAAACCTAAAAAAAAAAAGAAGAAGAAGAAGAAAGAGAAAAAGCAAGAGAGAAAGAGAGAGAAAGTGAGAGAGAATCAGGTACTGCCCTGATTGGTGAATACCAGTCTGCTGATGCCCAGAGCCTTGGGATTGGGCAGTGACAAGGCTCAATTGCGCATGTGCAGGCAAAGGGCACTCAGCCCCACGCAGCAATACCAAATAAGGACTTGATTACCTCCAAGCTGCAGGAATGCCAGCGCCATCTTGTAATGGCGATTTCTCTGGATGGCTCCCTACAGGGGAGAGCCATAATGACAGTACTGGCAAGCTAACTTAGGATGTCATGTATCTAAGGCTGGCCGAGCACTTCAGCCCTGACACTGTTTCTCTGACTGAGGCTCAGGTTTTGGCATAGGCATGATTCTCCACAGCCCCTGACCCCACCTTCAACACTTGCTGAATTCTGCTTTCCCAGTCATTCTTTTTCAATTTAAAAAAAAAAAAAAACTATTTGGAGGCCAAGTAATTTTTCACTTGCTTCCTACTTATCACCGCTCAGGAGTCCAAAGTTCTATGTTCATCTTTAGCCTTCTCTGTGCCTTTTCATCTAAATTTGTAATATATGAAGAATTTGGTTTTTCGAGACAGTGTTTCGCTGTAGTTTTGGAGCTTGTTCTAGAACTAGCGTTACCACCGCCCAGCAAGAATAACGTTCTTATTCATATAGTCACACTAACAAGTTTTATTCAAAGGAACCCTTCCCTATCATAGTCCTCCTGTAAGTTTGCTGTGAGATAATAAGCTTAATGGTTACAGAATCTGTCTTTATTTATTTATTTGGGAACAGGGCCCCATCTAATTCAGGCTAGCCTCCTGCTGGCTAATGTGGCCATGGGTGGCCTTGAATTACTTCTCCTGCCTCTACCTTCCAATCCCTGGGATTACAGGCAGGCTCTACCACCCTAGATCTCTACAGTATTTTAAAGATGTTGAAGCATACTGCTAAAATGCTCAAAGGGACTGTTTTCTGTCAAAGTTGGCCTCAAAACTCAGAGATCCACCTGCCTGTTTTCTAAGTGCTGGGATTAAAAGTGTGCGCCACCACCGCCCATACTCTGAGGTCTTTGTAGAGGGTTTTATAATCTTGTCCTTAACTGTGTCTTTAGACCTTGTTATCCTGATAAACCCCTAGATTTTAATCTGTAACTACAAGCTGTTTCTTATTAACATCATTTGGCCTCTATATTTTAAAAATTAGCCAGTCCTGGTCTCTTGTTCTTGATGGGTTATTCTTTACTTTCTTGAGAAGCCAGGTGGCACTTCTAACACTACTTGGAAAGCATCAGTTAGATTTGCTCACTCATTAGGTACCTTTTACAGTTACCTGTCGTCCCTGGCGGCAGCACCATTAATGTTTCCTCTACTGTACATTAAAGACTCACATTCCTCCTCCGGCTTCCAGGAAGATTTTCCCCACTTTCCTTTCATCTCTCACAGATGGCTTTCTCTAGAAATCTCAGGCTTCTGCTGAAAGTCTTTTTGAAACTTGTTAGGTCAGCCCTAACACCAGCACTGAAACCACACTTTCAGTTCTGGTATAGCATCCTACTCTGGGTTCCAAAATTTGACCTGCAGATCGACTACTACATAACATTACCACAAAAAATTTCCGGTGGAAAACAGTAAGATTTATTTTCCCTCGTGAATCTGCCATGGGAGTAGGATTTGGCAGGAATATGAGCCATCACCAGAAAGTACAAACTGCTGACAATCACGCCCACATTTAAACTCAGCTCCAATTCCTAACACACAGGCCTCTCCTATTGTATCAATATGATACAACTGTCTTGGATGGATGGATATTAAAT